TCGATTTTAAAGCAAAAGGAACAGATTGAATACATAGGATTATATAGGGACATGAATCTAAGTTCTTGTTGTGATGTATTTGGATTCACTTTGGCTGGTAAGTTTTTCATTCAGTTAGGTGATCAGGAACTAGGACTGGTTGATCTAAACTCTTCGCCTAAGAAGTATACTCGGCTTGTCACGTTTGGAGAACAAGGCAGCACTCGCGTCTTGAGTTATACTCCGAGCCTGATCTCCCCTTTGGCTTTTGCTGAGATGCCTAAAGAGTAAAGAATAAGACAGGTAGGTACTATCAGCTTCTCATTTTTCTTTGTTGCTGCTAGAAATTTTAGCTTCCTGTAATCTGCAGCTGATATAGCTGTTGTGTATTAGGAAAGCGTAGCTGTATCGAAAGCAATTGAAGATTTGGAGTTGAAGCTGAGATTGTTGAATTGACATTGAAGATAATACTTCAGAGGATAAAGATCATAACTTTAATTTATGTGCTTAATGTTAAGTGGTTTGTTAACTGGTTTATTTGTAAACAAGAACTTGGTTAATTAAGATTGTATCTTTTATATGGGCAAATAGCCATTTGTTTTTTATTAGTAGTAATGTTTACAACAAATATGAAGTATTATGTCACTAATAATGCTAACTTTTACTCCGTACTCCACATACAACATGCCTATTACTTGTATATGCAATCAGAGGTCCGCAATACTATACATACTTCGGAAAAGCAACATAGTATGATCATATGAAACGAAAGGAGTAGGTTTGGTTAATAGAACCCTAATTTTCTCACAAATTATACAACTAACCCCGGCAACAATGCAATTTACTTGTCATGCAAATAGAGAGGTGCATGAATAATGACTAGAAATTTATGCTTAATTTAAGTAATTACTCTGTAAATAGAAGAGGCAAAGTAATGAAATTAGTTGTTGTGTTCAACTTTTGTCCATTATTCATTACAAAATAGACATTATTGTGCGCAAATTGAAAATCAAAGTATTTGAGAAATGAAAATACCATTTAATACTTTTGATCAAAGAAAGCTAATTGACATGGCAGCCTTCACCTTTGCATGGGTATGCATTATCTTCTACTCTGTTTTTCCCCTGATGAATTTAATCTACGTACTTGTAATAATTAAGCGTTAATTGTGTTAATAGGTTTTTGTACAAACAACAAAGTACTTTTTAAGTGTTCTCATATATCTCTACACTATTAACTAAAGTCAAATGAAACATCAGTGGCTGAATCCCATCAGCACAACCAGGACGGCAAAGGAGGAGCCACTAAGCCTGGCGACACGCTTGTTCCATGTGCCACGGCTGAACTGCTGCATAGTAGCAGTGGCTGGGTTTAAGACCGCGATCAATGTTGATGTTGTTAAGGAAGGACTTAACCAAACTCTTGTTAAGCATCCTCGTTTCTCAAGCAAACTGGTAAATATTACTTCATCCGTTCTTTTTTTAATTGTAACAAAGACTTTATCATTAGAAGTCTTTGAATTGGTTTCAACAATAACCTATGATGCTAAATTTTCCGTCTTTTCAAAACATCTAGGTATTTGATCCCAATGACCCCGGGAGACCAATTGGATGGATCAGAACCAAAGTGGACGTGAGCAACCACATTATAGTCCCAAATTTGGATTATTCAAATATGGACTCACCGGATGAATTTGTTAAAGACTATGTTTCAAATCTTGCTCAAAAACCTATGGACTTAACCAAGCCATTATGGGAAATTCACATCCTCAACATCAAAACTAAGGATGCTAACTCGATTGCTGTATTCCGAACTCACCATTTTATAGGAGATGGTATCTCAATTATGTCCCTCATACTCTCATGTACTCGAAAAACCTCTGATCCTAATGCACTTCCTACACTCCCTACCGAAAATAAGAAGTTGATTAACACAAGAAGATCATTTAGTTTATGGGACTGCTTTTTGTGGCTATTGTTTGCTTTCAACATGTTGTGGAACACTTTTATAGATGTATGCATGTTTTTGGCCACAATAGTTTTTCTTAAGGACACCAAGACTCATCTAAAAGGCTCTTCTGGAACAGAAAAGTCTCCTAAAAAGTTTGTTTATAGGATTCTAAGCCTTGATGACATCAAGTTTGTCAAGAACATCATGAATGTGGTACGTTTTCTTTTTCCATAATTGTTCAAACTTAATTGACATTACTAATAGATGTATGATTAAATTTAAGTTTGTTATACATCGAAATGAGGCTGTTGATATTATTTTTCAGACGATTAATGATGTGGTTTTAGGGATAACTCAGGCAGGCCTATCACGCTACCTTAACAGGAAATACAGTCAGTCTCCCACTTTCTTACATGATCAATAATGTTCATATTTTTTTCATTTGAATGAATTTATGATGTATATTAATACGCTCTTACATTCAGGTGAGTCCAAAGGAGATGAAAGGGTGCAGAAAAATAGTTTGCCTAAGCATATTCGTATAAGATCATCAATCCCTATCAATATCAGTCCAACTTCCAACCTTCAGGTTTAAGTATAACATTACTCATTTCTATCATCTATTTGTAACCAAAGTCTTTTTCAAAAAAGGCTTTAAATTGTCTAAAATCATTGACATGGGTACTCAACAGGATTTAGCAGAACAAATGGAAACAAATGATCCCAATACGAAAAAGTGGGAATGGGGGAACGCAATTGGTCACATCTTCCTTCCCTTCCACATCGCGCTAAGAGAAGACCCATTAGACTACATACTCAGTGCTAAAGCCACCATTGGCAAAAAGAAACATTCTCTTGAAGCAATTGTAACATATATATGTGCTGAATATTTTCTCAAGTTTCTAGGCCTTGGGGTATGATCATGCAACTTATAGTAACCTAGGCTTATAACATTATATTATAAACTACAAGTTGTATGAAAGTAACATTTACATCATAATTTTACAGGTTGCTGCTGCTATAACATACAGAGTTCTATCCAACACTACCTTATACTTGTCAAACATGGTCGGTCCAATGGAAGAAATAAGCTTCTATGGTCATCCCATGACGTTCCTTGCTCCTAGTGTTTATGGACATCCACAAGTATGCTCACTATCCTTTACGATTGGGATCTTATAGTACATATATTCTGACGTATTTGGATCAAGTTATATTGTGCTTAATTGATGTAGTTTGTCTATTTGTTGCAGGCTTTGACAATCAATTTTCAGAGTTACATGGATAAGATGACTTTGGTTATTGCAGTTGATCAAAATGTGATCCCTGAACCACAACTACTTTGTGATGATATTGTGGAATCACTTGAACTTGTAAAGAAAGCAGCTCAAAAGAAAAAGATTTTCAAGATTTAATATCCATGTTCTAGTTACAAGTCTAACTCACAAGCCTAATGGAATTGAAGAGCTATACCCATTGATTTTTCATTGGGAGTAATATACATTAAATTAAATAATGATGTATTCCATATTCATTTTGCATATTGGCTATCAGACAAATATGTTTGAAATTTCAAGGTGATTAAATTTGCTTACGACTATTTATATTTCCTACTTCCTCCGTTCTTTTTTACTTGACCCGCTTTGACTTTTACACTATTCATCACCCATCCTTTGACCTTGTTTTGTGAATAATATGTAAGGAAAATCATATTTATGTTGGATCATTTTGAATTCGTCTCAATAAGTACTATCATAATATATAACTTTTATATTTTTTAATTATGGAAAATTAAAGTTTTGCATTAGCAAGCGTGATAAAAGAAACAGGTCAAGTAAAAAAGAACAGGGAAGTATTAAGTTAGAAGAGATAATGAAAAATATTATTACTCCGTATAAGCCAAGGAGTACTAGATTTTTTTTTTTTTTTTTTTGGTAGATTATTGTTTCGATTTTTGTAACAGCCAGACTTCTAAACATTATTAACAATAAGGTAGTGAGAAGTTTGAGAATGAAAATAATAAGGGAAATTCCCATTGGTACCATCCAGGTTTTGGCTTTTCCCAGCGGTACCACATTTTATTTTTGACTTCCTGGTGATACACCCCAGTTTTTGACTTCTTAACTGGCGTGATTAAGTCTGTTAAACAGACGTTAATAAGTTAGTAAAATAGGTTAAAAAAAAGAAAAAGACTAATTTGCCCTCATTTTAAAAATTCCCCTCCATTTTTTCCCACTGATTCTTTCTGTTATTTCCCACCAAAACCCTTCCTATAAAATGCGCCATTTCCTTTTCCTTTCTCCATTTCATTTCTCCTCCATTGCTGCAGTACTCTTCTTCTCAATATTTTCTTTTTCCTTTTCTCTGACATGGCAGGTATTTCAGGTTCTTCTTCTGGCAGTAGGTAACTGACTCCATTTCGAACCCAGGAAGAACATATTACAAATGCAGGCACTGTGGTTTGTTGATGTGAGTCACTGAAGGTTAATTTATGGGAAACAGAACAGGGGAACTAAATGTTGCTGAGTATGCTAATCTGAGAGATTAATTTAACTGAATTTACAAAGAGAGCTTATGAATTTGCAGCCTACATATACATGGTTGTTAGGATTGCTCTTGTCATGTACTTGATTTTACTATTTGTTGCTCTAAAATAAAAGTGGTGTAATTTTCCTTCAAATCATGCTATGTAATTGGTAGATTATTATTAGCATTTAAAAGTTGTTTTTTCTGGATGAAGGAATGAGAAATGAAAAAAGAGCTACTTTGTTCTGTTTTATACTTTGTTTACTAAGTAATAAGTACAATAATGCAACAGAACAAGATCAATAACTGAACTCAAATCACAACTTTTAAAATGGCAATAGTTTGCTGATTTCACATATCCAAAATGAAGATGATTGCCAAAGTATCCAAAACCAAACTTATGTTCCAAAAAGCATCAGTTACCTACTGTTAGAATAAAGCACTAAAAAAGTTGACTAAATAATCACTTTTCATCTAAAGTACTAAGATTGTAGCTAAAGTTTCAAAAAACAAAGTTAACTACATAGCAATTGCATCCACACAAACTAGAAACTTGGAGAGTCAGAGTAAGCTTGAGACAGGTTTGCTGGTTGGCTAGGCAACTGTGAAGCATTCAACTCAGTTGGATAATCAGTGACCTGCTTCCCTTTCTTCCTTGACTTAGATGCTGCAGCATCAGATAATGCTTCATTTGCTGCTTTTGCTGCCTTTGCTGCATTTGATTGGTCTCTGACCCTTGGGTTTTTGATGACAACAGGCTCAGATGCCTTCAACTCTTTCCCAGTCAAGCCTCCCTTGCAGGTTGCTTTATTATGCCCAAAGCAACCACACTTTGAGCATTTGACTGTTTTGCTTCTCTTGCCTGGTTGGACTTCTCCTTCTTCCCTTTTTCTATTCCTACTTGGTCTTCCAATGCCCCTTTTCATCTTAGGTGGCATGATAATTCTGCCTGAGTCATCAATAGGCCATTGGTCTGTGTCTGGGATGGGATTAATGCAGGTACTGTATGCTTGCTTGTATGTCTTGACAGAGTACCAAGAACTAACAAAGTCATGTGGGTCCAATTTTGCATCAATTAGGGCCCTAATTGCATGCCTACATGGCACTCCTGAAAGTTGCCATGCACCACAAGAACAAATCTTCTTGTTAAGGCTCAAAGGGAATTGAGATCTGCCCTCATGGATTTCATACTCTCCAGGGCTGGACTTAAAAGCTCTGCAGTTTGAGCTTGCCTTCCCTATCTGTTTCACAGTTTGACAATTTTTGGGCAAATATCCTCATCTTTCCAAGACCTTGCATTCTCAAGCCTTGTTGCAATTCTTACCATACAGACCCTCCTTATTCCTGCATAGTTGTACATAATTACACATGATGATCAGATTATATTCACATTATCATAAGCATAAAACAAAGTTATGTAAATTTGTTACCTTCTAGCAGAGTTAATACAGGCCTACATCTGTTTACTCCAAGTGTGGAGTTAAAACTTTCCACAAAATTAGATGTGTTGGTCTCATTGCAGACATTAGGGCTAAATTTGTGCTTAGTCCACTTGGACTGTTCTCCCAAGTAAGCAAACCAACACATGACATCATCACCTCCCTCTTTCTTCAGCTTCTCCATAGCTTTCCTGAATGTGAAAGCTGAAGTTGCATTGCATGCTCTCCAAAATAAAACATACATCATAGGGCCTGGAAACTTCTTTTTGTAATTCCTACTAAGGTGTCTACAACAGAACCTTCTGTCAGCTTCTGGCCATACATTGTCTAAGGCTAATTCTACTCCCTAGAACAATAATTAACAAGATTAGTATTATGTAATATGCAAATGTTATCATAAACAGCAAAAAATTGAATTTTAACTTCAGTACTTGCCTTTTGCCTATCAGAAATGATAGTCCAATGCTCCCTTGAAGATTCTTTGATCATGTTTCTCAAATGCCAGAAGAAGTAGCTCCATGACTCCTTGTCTTCTTGACTCACAATAGCATAGGCTATGGGAAAGATCTCATTATTGCCATCTATTCCCACAGCAGATAACAAAATTCCCCCATAATTACCTTTCAGGTGTGTTCCATCTACACCAATCAAAGGCCTAAAACCTCTAAGAAGCCCTCTCCAGTCTCCAATGTCCAGTGAAGGAAATGAATGTACTTGTGAATTGTAGTTGCTTAGGCAGGGATTCAGTTTCTTGCCATGCACAAAATGCTAAAGTTTCTGGGTTTGTCTCAATACACATTTTAGCATACATGGGCAACAATGAATAAGACTCATCATGGCCTCCAAAGAGCTGCTCAATTACATAACACTTTAACCTATACAAAGTAGACTGTCTCATGTAGATTCCATATCTTTGGAATAAAAGTTCAATTAAAGCTTTCCCAGGAATGTCAGGGTTAGCTCTGATGTCTTCCATAACTTTTTGGGAAGCCCACTTGACATTACATATGGGGTTGTATGTCTCTAACCCTATGCAAGTGTGTACATTGGGCCAAATCTTCTTAATTGCCCAAGTTCTTCCATCTGAAAGCCTGCTTGCATGCAGCCTCCAGTCACAACATTGAGATTGGCACACTGCTGTATACCTCTTGTTGTCAGCATACTCCACATTAATTGCAAATCTCTCTTGTACAGCAAAATCCTTAAGAGTATCCTTAAAGTGTGCCTTATCAGTGAAAATCATCCATGGCCTTAGCACTATCTTCCCAAAATCAGCATCCTCATACATCTCTCCATTCTTGTAAAGTCTCTTAAAGTAATCCTCATCATCTTCATCATCTAAAAACTCAAACCATTTACCAGGTTTCCAGTTATCCTTGATTTTAGGAATCCTTTGAAGCTGAACCAATTCATCTGCAGGAACATCACCCTTTGGTGCTACTTCTCCTTCACTATCTTCATCTGAATCACTTTGCATCACAAACTCCATTTTTCTTCTAACTTTTGAACCAGTCTTAGGTCCCTCCACCTGACTCTCATTTAAACACAAACTATTGCCTCCCTCCTAACTCTCATTCAAACCAGATGAATCACTCTGAACAACAAAGTCCATCTTCCTTCTCCCCTTGAAACCAAAACTAGGGTCCTCAACTTCTGTCTCAGTCACACCAATTCTAAGTCCCTCCACCTGACTAGACTCCAAATTAGAACCTACACCAAGCATTCTTCTCTCATTGACAGTACTGCCAACTCTTACCCCCTTCCTATATGCTGTGGTTCTAGGAAGTTTTTTAGCAAAAACAGAGATCTGAGATGAATTACTTAATAGTTCAACATTGGGAGCAGCTGTCTCAGTGACTGGAATAGGTGAAAATCTAGGGCTTCTTCTCAAAGTTAAGGTCTTGAACACAGTATTTGGTGACCTAGGTGATGGTGGTTGCATTGGGGTTGATTTGGTGGCAACACTCTTCTTACTCTTTGTAGCCTTAGCCTTCTTTGACTTTTCTATCCTCTCCATAGTCTTCTCAAACTCAATTGTACCCTTTGTGTACTCAACATCATTATGTTGGACACTTGGTTCATCTATTGGTGAATTGACATCAGCATACCAGGTGGAGAAGACTCAATTACAAATAAATCTTCCAAGGAAGGCTGAGAGGGTTCAGTTTGAGAGGGTTCAGTTTGAGAGGGTTCGGTTTGTGATGGTTCTGTTTGTGATGGTTCTATTTGGGAGGGTTCAGTTTGGGGTGGATCAACAAGGGGTGGAATAGTTTGAGTTTTCCTTAACTTCTAGGTCATTTTATTCAACACACTTGGTTTCTTGCCACACCCAACCCAAATGTGATACACATCACACTCACCTAGGGCATGAATCATCTTTAAAAAATCAGCATCATCTAGTAATGGGATATGCTTTTCTTTGTGACCATAACCATAGGAAGGGTTGATTAATGGATACTCAGTGTCTACTACATCATTGTCCTCAAATTCCATAACCAAGTCCATCAAATTACATCTATCTAAGTCAACCCCAATATCAACATGTTTATTCAAGTAATGAAATCTTATCACAACATCACTCATTCTGCAAAATAAGGTAAACAATGTACACACTTACAACATGCAAAAAAATTCCAATTCAATCAAACATGATCAAGGCATTTCATTCAATTTCATTCCATACTCTAAACCAATATTTGATCAAACATAATCACACATCAAATATATATGAAATAACCCTAAATTCGCACAAATAAACAACATTTAAATCATGAAATAAACCTAAATTCGCATACAAAAACAGAATATCAATCAAAAGCACCAAATCATGCATAAATGAACAGTAGTAGTACTGATATACCTGAATTATGCTCAGATTTCCCCCTGTTAGCTATGTAGACCAACCAAATTTGCGAATTTCCCTTGTTATCACCAGGAATTCTTCGTGAATTTACCAGAGCAAAGGAGAGAGAGAGAAGAAATTTGAATGAAATGGTTTTATGTCCAATCGACATAAATGAAAGGGGAAGAGGTTTAATTATGGATGTTGGAGGGAAGGTTTTAAAAGGGGGCATTTTAGTCATTTCATATTTTTAACCCTAAATCACCTAATTACTAACTTATTAACGTCTGTTTAACAGACTTAATCACGCCAGTTAAGAAGTCAAAAACTGGGGTGTATCACCAGGAAGTCAAAAATAAAATGTGGTACCGCTGGGAAAAGCCAAAACCTGGATGGTACCAATGGGAATTTCCCTATTTAACATATAGACTTCCAAACAATAATTAAAATAAAAATTTAAATAAAAATAATTAAAATAACAAAAGTGCACATTTTTATGACAAATTTAACAAGATCTTACCATAGAGTATGGACCAAGTATTTTTTTTTAAAAAAAAGACCAAATTAGGTGGGATTCATAAAGAAAAAAACCTCTCCAATGCAAATCAATAATAAAAGTACAACTTTTGTATAGTTGTTGTATTAAAACTTGTATTCATAAAGAAAAAACTCTCCGCTCTACCAACTAAAAACCCTTCCATCAAAACCCAATAAAAAGCAAAGAAGAAATATTGAATGATTTTCCCTCTATCTTCTACGCTACTAACTAACTAAAAAACAAACTAAATTAAGAGATGGCATGTGTTAATAAGTGGCTAAACCCCATCAACACAACTAGGACGACGACGGCGAAAGACGAGGTGGAGGAGCCGCTAAGTCCGGCAACCCGTTTGTTTCATGCGCCGCAGATGAACTGCTGCATAGTGGCGGTGGTTGGGTGTAAGACTTTGATCAACGTTGAAGTTATTAAACAAGGGATTTATCAAACTATTGTTAAGCACCCTCGTTTCTCTAGCAAACTGGTAACATTATTGCTTAATTTTATTTGTTCTTCATCTTATTACTGGTTTTTCGTGCTTACACGTTGCTTGTTTTTTTTAAGCACTATAAAGAGGTCAACATTCTTTAATTTCTTTTTACTATTTTTTTTAGCTTATCATATCTTGCAAGAATGCATGATTAGTTAGATCAATAATTGATATACGAATGCTCTAGAGGTGGCTAAGCAGGCTAATGGATCATTGGTTCGGGTATGGAGTTATGAACTGGGTCCTTTATGGTAGGATCATATTCAAGTGAGTAGGTTTTTGAGTCGGGTCCATTTGGAACATTTTGGATGAGTATACGGGAACTTTTAAATTAGTTTGGATTATGTTGAGTTTATTTTATTTAGGCTTAATTGCAAATTACTACGGAGTACGTATCTAATTTTGAAATTGGTTTTAAGTAAAGGAAATTTGGATTACGTATTCGTAATATTATTATTTTTTTAGTATAGTAAACAGAAAAATGACTAATTACATATTGCCATGTTATTGGAAGTCATGAGTAAAATGGTAAGAGTATTTGAATATTAGTCATAAGCTCATAACTCATAAACTAAAACTTCATGAAGAGTTTGAATTGTACTCCATATCAAACAATTTGTTAATTAGGGAGATTAATGGAAATATGGAATATGCTAGTCAAAGCGTTGGGCTGCGGGAAAGACTATGTGACATTGTGACCCTTGGGTTAGTCAAAGTAAGCTATTTTTTATTTATTTATTTATTTATTGGAGGGTTAGTCAAAGTAAGCTACAATCAGTGAATCAGCTAAGCTGGTTCTTTATCAAATTGATGAAATGTCATTATTTTCCTCAATTGAAATGGGATTTTAACTAATGACATATCCATTGGAATGGGCAGATCATGATCCTACATTTGTTGGGCTAGGTGATCCGTAGTCCAATAGATGGCGGCTTGGGTTAGATAAAGCTTACAATCACCGTAATTTAGCTTTTATCATAGTAAGCATTTTTACTTTATTTTGTAAGAAAATGATAAGAAGAACCAATCTACTGATTTAGAATCTCACTTAGATCAGTTCGGTCCAAAATTCCAAATCAGAGCGCTAGTTACTTAGATAGTGAGGGCGAAAATAAAGGACTTGTGTTATAAAAAGTTAAAAATTACAAACGTTAGCTTGTCTATAAATAAAGCACACAGGTTTACCATGATGTATGTGAATATATAAGATCAATAAAATGCACTTTACCAAGGATGACTTATGAATAGTTGACATTAGGTAGTGTGTTGGCCTTGCGAATTGAACTAGAGAGCAAAATTCTCGAAGGCTGATAGGGTGGTCAACGTTCCAAGTGCAATGTATATTTTGATAAACTCGAGTGCATTTACAAATTTATGCATAATATATGTCAACAATCTACTATCTAGTTAAGCATTGTAGTATAATGAGAAAAAATACGGCAATTGGAAAAATTGGGAGTTATGTCTTCACTAATTTATATGTTTATCGGTTAACTAGTATTTGAATTCACATTAACGATTACCTTCAGGGGCTAAACTAATCCATCTTGCTTGACAATTAGGTATTTGATCCCAAAAAACCTAGTAGACCGGCTGGATGGACCCGAACCAAGGTGGACGTGGACAACCACATTATTGTTCCAAGTTTAGATTCATACATGGACTCACCCGATCAATTTGTTGAAGACTATGTTTCAAGCCTTGCTCAAACTCCTATGGACTTAACCAAGCCATTATGGGAGATCCGCATTCTAAGCATCAAAACAAAGGATGCTAATTCGATTGCTGTATTCAGAATACACCATTCCGTAGGAGATGGTATCTCTCTTATGTCCCTCGTACTTGCTTGTACTCGAAAAACCTCTGATCCTAATGCATTGCCTACACTTCCTACAAAGGATACGAAAAAGTTGGATGACACAACGAATAGTTCATCATTTTGTTTATGGGGCTGCTTGATGTGGTTGTTGCTTGCTTTCAAGATGTTTTGGTACACTATCATAGATTTATGCATGTTTTTTGCCACAATGGTGTTTCTTAAGGACACCATGACTCATTTAAAAGGCTCTTCTGGAACCGGAAAGGCTCCTAAGAAGTTTGTTTATAGAACTCTTAGTTTTGATGACATCAAGTTTGTGAAGAACGACATGAATGTGGTACGTTTTCTTTCAATTAAAAATAAATAAATTATGATGTTGTAATGCATCTTTCATAAGTTCTTATAGATTGGTATCTTGTTAGCTTTCAAACTTATTTGGCGTGACTAATATTTGTATGATAATCTTAAGTTCATTATTCAATTTGGGGTGGTATTTTTTATTTTTTTCCAGACAGTAAACGATGTTGTTTTGGGTATAACTGAAGCAGGGCTATCACGTTACCTTAATAGGAAGTATGGTTAGTCCTTTATCTTTTCTACATGATCGTTTAATTTTATAACGATTTTATGAAAATTTTACATTGCTAAGGATAGCTAATGTGTATGTTCATATCTACATTCAGGTGAGTCCAAGGGAAATGAAAAGGTGCAACAGAATAATTTGCCAAAGCATATTCGTCTCAGATCAACACTCCTTGTAAATATCAGACCAACTTCCACGCTTGAGGTTTGAGTATAACAATAGCAATTATTTTCTACATTAATTTGTGCTCAAAATCATATTGAAAAGACTTTATTTATTTTCATGCATATATGATCGTTAACATAAGTATATAGGATTTAGCAGAACAAATGGAAACAGATGATCCTAATTTGAGAAACTGGCAATGGGGGAACTCGATAGGTTACATCCTCGTTCCCTTCCACATCGCGCTAAGAGAAGATCCATTGGATTACATACGCAGTGCTAAAGCCACCATTGACAAGAAGAAACAATCTCTTGAAGCGATTGCCACATTCATAAGCGGTAAAATTGTTCTCAAGATTTTCGGCCTAAGGGTATGCACATCTACCCTGTTCAAAATCAACTTGATAATATAAATACCTAAATTATTTGTGGAAGCAATATATACTAAGTACATAGTTTTGCAGGTGGCTGCTGCTATAGTATACAGAGTTCTATCCAATACTACATTTTCCTTCTCAAATGTGGTCGGTCCAAATGAAGAAATAAGCTTCTATGGTCATCCCATAACTTTCCTTGCTCCCAGTGTTTATGGACACCCACAAGTATGTATGTAGCTTGAATAAGGTTTATTATCCATTCGTGTTAATAATGCTAAAAATAGTTACATGTATAAATCACGCGATAGTCAAACATTATATTGATCCCACGTGCATATCAATCGTTGTGTGTACGAGTAATAAGATGAATCTTGTAAGATTAGGATCGTATATGTGATGTATATATATAGGTCAAATTAAATTATGTTGTGCTCAATTTGATGTAGTTAAGTTTACCTGATGCAGGCTTTAACCGTCCATTTTCAGAGTTACATGGATAAAATGACTTTGGTTCTAGCAGTTGATCAAAATGTGATCCCTGAACCACAACAACTATGTGATGATGTTGTGGAATCACTTGAAGTTGTAAAGCAAGCAGTCCAGAAGGAAAAAAACTTCAATATCAATATTTAGTTTCCATGTTCTATTTTTACCCATTTCCCCCCCCCCCCCCCTAGGAGCAATACTCATTGATATAACTACAAGGTCTACAAGTATACACAATGAAATGTTACATGTTCCTTTCACTTTAAATAAAATAAATTCAAATATTATTGCAGTGACATAAAATATTACCTTCACCCAATATTTCGTAGATAGTAAGATTCGTAATGAAATACAATAAACAAATTAATCACAATGATAATATCAAAAGGATTGTGATTATTATTATTATTATTATTATTTTTGCTGAACTGAAATTATTTTTACTGAACTGGAATTATTTTTACTGATTTTCTATTATAATTCTTCTTTAAGAAAACTGAATTTTACTGAACTGAACTTATTTTTTACTGAACTGAAATTATTTTTACTGAACTGAAATTAATTTTACTGAACTGAACTTATTTTTACTGAACTGAAATTATTTTTACTTAATATTATTTTTTTAAGGTGAAGAGAACAGGGCCTTATAGAGTATATAAAGGTTGTGAAATTGTTATAGAGTGTATTTTTTTCAAATTAATGTCATTTCTTTTTACAAAACATATTTCAAGTAAGATTAAGGGCTTGTTCTCATTGACTGAACTGAACTGAACTGAATATTTTATATGAGATGGAAATTAGTAGCTGAACTGAATTGAACTGAGCTGAATTGAACTGAACTGAATTTCAACGTATGAGAACAGGCCCTAAAGATGTAAAAAAAACTCTCTCAATCCGCATTTTGACTTGTATTGACACAATAATTTAACTTGATTTAACTTTTTATATTACTACATTTGTTTCATATTACGTGTAACATTTACTAAAAATATTGTTACATATAATGGAGAGATTATTATATATTCTCGGGTGTATTGTACACCCAACTAACTCAAGGTTAGTTTTTGCTCTTTATTTGATGATTAAATGAAAAACAATCATTAAAATGGGAACAAAATGTTTATGGATGTATGGTGTACTCGGATATATATAACAAATTCTAACAAAGCCTTTTATTTTATTTTTTTATTTATTTTTATTTTTTTTAAGACAATTCTAACATAGCCTTTGTTACACATAAAATGAGATATTGTATTTGTACTCCCTCCCTTTTTAAATACTTGCTTTACTTTTCTTTTTCGGCCGTTTTTAGATACTTGCCCCATTTTCTTATTTGGAAAGCTTTTACAATATTTGATTCATTTCTCACACTTAGTGGACAAACCTAAATCACATTTTATTAATTTCATATTCTCTCACCTTCAATTCTCTCTACTACTTTTGTTTTTTACAATTTTTATTCTTTTACGTTTTACCTACCCAAGTACCCAACTACCTCCATACGAAGTATTTTACTATTTTTTTTCAATTTCTCCTACAGCTCCGCATATAGAAAAATGAAGTACATATTTAAAACGAAGATAGTAACACAAACTTTTAAAAAATCTTATGTACAATAATTATTGTACGTCCATTATAAAGATAACCTAAAGTGATTAAAAGTTACCCTTGAAATGAATAAAAGTTACCCATGAAATGAATAAAAGTTACCCCAATATGAGTTAAAGTAACCCAATTCAAATAAAAATTATCTACGCTTTATTAGTAAAGAATCAAATTTTAAATGACTAAAAATCAATTATTAGTGATTGAATGTAATTAAATTACCTTTATAAATTTTTTCTTGTTGTTGATTTATATAAAAATTGTATGATGTTTAAAGTTACCCAAAAAAGACAAAAGGTTACCCTAAAAATTACCCTTATATTGCTCGATGTACACTAATATTAGTGTAAACTGAAGGTATACAAAAGTTTTTGAGATAGTAATTCATATTGACAATTTGACACCTCTGGCCTCTAGGAGTCTAGGACTATCCAAGAGATGCAAAGAGCCAGAGAGGCCAAAGACAGATAGATAAACAGACCTTCTGGAATCATCTACTCTTTCAAACTTTTCAAGAAATCCCTCCCCTTTACACTTCATCGCCTCCTTCAACTTCTCTCTTTCTCTCTCCATATAAATATCCCTCTAAAACCCTCGTTATTACTGATTCATCTCGATTCATCTCGATTCTTCCCTTTTTCTTTTCATTTCATCTTCCTCCAAGAAAACCCCTGTTTTTCTCTTTCTCTCTCCTCAAAATCCGACAACAATGGCGATCCTCTCAGATTACGTCGAAGAAGACCATAAACCTCAAGAACAACCACAACAACCACCGCCTACTCCGAAGCCGTTTTCTACAATTCTCGATCCTTCGAATCCGCTAGGGTTTCTTCAATCCGCCATTGATTTCGTTGCGAAAGAGACGGATTTCTTCTCCGATGATTCGTCTGAGAAGGAGGTTGTTAGTTTGGTTAAGAATGTGAGGGAGAAGCTTAAGGTTGAAGCTGAGAAAAAGAAGGAGGAGGAAGCTGCTGCTGCTGCTGCTGCTGTTGCGTCGTCTTCTGCTTCGGAGAAGAAGGATGCGTCTTCTATGGATGTCGACGAGAAGACAGAGAAATCTAAGTATATAGGTTTATCATCTATCTCTTTCATCTTTGAGTTTTTGAATTTTGTATTGATTAATTGCGCAATGTTGGTGATTTTACTCTTCATTTTGACTTTTTGATGAATAGAATCCTAATTAATGTTTGTTGTTGATTTTAATACGTGATTGTGATTTGCCCTAATTTTGATTAATTAAGGAAGAATTATAATGTAGTTGATTAAGTATTATTCTGTTTAGTTAGTATGTGTTTGGTGCTTGAGTATATGATTGTGGATCTTGGTTGATTAATTTGTGATTGTTGATGAATGAATGAGTGTTAAGTTATGCTATTGTTGATGAATGAGCGTTGGTTAATCTGTTTTTTTATGATTGATTGTTGTTGATTCATGATTTTAGTGGATTAATGTTAATTAATCTCTAGCTGTTAAGATAATACTGCTAAAACATCCTTTGAGAATTGTACTCAATTAAACAAATTAGTGTAGAAACATACTGGGAAATTAAAGCTAATTTATGAGCACCTTCTGCTTAATTTCTTAATCGAAGAAGCTATTAGAATGGTGGTGGTGGTGGTGGACTAGATTGAATCCTCTAGATTGAGAGGAGCTATTAGAATGATTAGGAGGGAAATTGCTTAGGCAAACTAATTTAAGGGGATAACAATTAGGAGGGACTGATTAGTAGCAGCTTTGAAACTAGGTAACTTATTTCATGGTCTTGTGCTTGGTATTTTTAATTTATTATGTAGCACTGCTGTTATGCTTCCACTCAAAAGGTCCAATGCTAAATACAACAAACATGAAATCAAATCCCAAGATTATGAAGTACGGAGTAATTCAGTTACTGCATTAAAAAAATGTAGCTACCCAAAAGAAAATATGCAGCGTATTTCTAGTTGGGAGCTGGTTATCATAATTGATTAGTTGATGTGCTATTCCTAGTAGCTAGTTAGCTACCCAAGAGAGAAATTTAGCTGTCAACCTTTGCATAAATTGTAGTTTCAGTCTTTCAGATAATGGCTCATATTTCATAACTAAAGCATAAATCACCCTTCGGATTCTTTTTTTTTTTTTTTTTCTTTATTTTACCTTTCATTTGCGACGGCTCTTTGTGAAAGGCCACTTCCAAGATGGTAGAATTATGTTTTTTCATGTGTAGTATTGCTGTGTTTTTGTAAGGAGTTGATATGGTTTTTTAAAAATAAACCGTTCTTATTTACTCTTTGGATTACGTCGGTGCAGAACCGAACAAAGGGAATGGTCAAGATTTGGAGAACTACTCATGGGAACAGTCCTTGCCAGAAGTTACTGTAAGCGTACCCGTTCCACCTGGGACAAAGTCAAGGTCCATCACTTGCGAGATTAAGAAGAATCACTTGAAAGTTGGTCTCAAGGGCCAGCCTCCTATTATTGATGTAAGCTCTCTCTTATCAAATTGAGCCACTTGTTTTCCTTGTAATAATTTAGATCTTCTTTTCTGACCTGTAGTATTTTTTGTTACAGGGTGATCTTTATAAGCCTGTGAAGCCAGATGACTGTTTTTGGAGCTTGGGTATGTTCTATACCTGTGAACCTGTATATCTCAAGCTGTTATCTAGTGATTTTCTTTTCTTACATAAAATTTATTACGTGAGCTTTTATCTACATATTTATACTCCTAAAATCACCCTAGATAATTTACCCATATCATAATTGCTTTGATGGCTGGCAAAGTAGATATTAGAGAGTGGCATTGAAGTTTAAAATGATTTATAACTATTTCTTTGTTTGCTTGTATCTGTTATTCATGAATTTTCTAGCCTGGAGCTTAGGTTTGTTGTTCACCTCTTTCATGTAAATTTTTTCATGAGATCCCTACTTTTTAATGTTTTTCCCAACCCCCTTGCTCAATGTTTCAAACTCCCAAATAGGGCTTGTCTAAGGAAGGGGGAAAGAAAGGGTTTGTAGTTTAATGATTGAGGTAAGTCTAGCTAATGGTGATAAAGTGTGTTGCTATGATTAAAAGGTTACTTGTTGGGGAAGATCATGGCTCATTTTTTGGGATATATGAATTGAATTGCCATTCATGCTTGGTGGGGAAGTAGTGGTGTACTCCCCAATTTGAATTTTGGTTTACTTACCTCCACTAGGCCAGAGTTACATTTTGGTCTAAAGCTCTAGGTCTCGATGCCACAATACATTTATGTACACACACATAGCCTAGCACACATTGTGAGCATAAAACACAATGCTTGGATTGTTATCTTTCTGACACTTATTCTGGTTTATCTTCAGAGGATCAAAAGTCTATCTCAATTCTCTTGACAAAGCACGACCAAATGGATTGGTGGAGATGTCTGATTAAAGGTGAGCCTGAAATTGATACACAGAAAGTTGAACCTGAAAGCAGCAAGCTCTCTGACTTGGATCCTGAAACAAGATCAACTGTGGAGAAAATGATGGTAAGACTAGATGACTTTTTTTTTAAAAAAAAAAAAAAAATACTAGCCTACTTATCTTGGCATGTGTATAGTAATCTAGGAATTGATGTGATTCCTATTGCATGAATGTTCTGTGAAGATCTGCGTTTTACACAGTATTTTTGCTGATGAAAAATCATGTTTTGGTTGTGCAGTTTGACCAAAGGCAGAAACAAATGGGCTTGCCAACAAGTGATGACATGCAGAAGCAAGAGCTGTTGAAGAAGTTTATGGCTGAGGTAAATACGTTGTTTTGATACCCCTGTAGTTTGTTCCGGGAGTGAAATATACATTCTTACAAATGAAATTATATTAATTATTTCATATCTAAAATTCTCTTGTGAAATCATGCAGCATCCAGAGATGGACTTCTCAAAGGCAAAGTTCAACTAGATGGTGATGGCGGTGATGGAATATGATTCAGTTTTTTGGGTTGATTACTGTAGACATGAAATTGGAGAACCAGCAGCTGGAGTTGAAAGAGGTTTTTTTTGTCTGATGCTGAACTTGTTTATACTAGTTTCGATATGTAGGGTAGAATCTTCATATGAATTAAGCACATGATAACTGTTATTACTGGGTATAGATACGTTCCAGCAATCTTTGGTTTGCTAACAAAGCTTAATTGCCTGGCGTGACTCCAGCGCTTGTTTTGTGGCTGTGCAATCATTTGTGTGCTGCAAATTGCTACATTTGGAAATATCATGACAACTTTTCATTTACAAACTTATATCATGTCATCAATATGGTAATGACTTATTAATTTGCCTACAAAATTTATTCTGTAATTGTTTATTGTTATGATAGATTTTAGACTTGCATAATTCTAAAGACTTCTATTGAATTTAAATACCATTAATTGTAAAAACCGAGCATGGCTTGGGAATTATCAAGTATACAACAAAATTTTACAAATTTTTGCTAATATTTGTTTCACAAGTAATAATAAAAAGTGAAATTGGGGTTTCAAAAAAAATAAAAATAAAAAGTGAAATTAGCATTACAAATTGTAATAAAATCCGTGTGCATCTATAATGAAAATGTAATAAATTAAGAATTAGTAGGTCTATAATTTTTAATAATTATATTTGTAAATATGTGAATGAACATATTAGTATTGTAATGAACCTCTATTAATAGTATTAAATAAACAAACATTTATCAAATTAAGACTCTTGCACTTGTTTTGTGCCTGTTCATCAACTGTATGTGGGTGCAAATACCCCAACTTGTTTGCCAAGGCCGAAGGGGGTTGCTAAGAATACCTTCCTCTATAGAATAAGAAAAGGTAAATATTGTTATTGATCACTCATCAGCCAAGTTGCACTAGTATAATAATAGGACATTTGGTGGCCTGGCTCAAATATATGCGAACTAGGCTGGGATTTGGGAGACCATAATATTTCAGCCTAATGGAGATGATGGTCTTGATGGATTTATGAGACTAAGTACCTAAAATCATTGACGGTGCAACAACTAGCTTAGTTCTCTCCAGAAGTTTCTAGAGCGCTCCCAAGGCATACTGGAGAAGTAAATCTACCAACTACCATAGGTGATTACAGAATGCTCATGAGACTTCTTGTGCATGCATAATATACTTAAAATGTCTATGAGACTTCTTGAGGAGGTGTGGGTACTTTCTAGATATTCTATGCAAGTAGGACGGTGGCGGCCTATTAATAGGCATCAAGGATCATTTGTTCATTGAAATTAAGAGTTCAATACAAATAAACACTCCCATAAAATACTTATGTTCTCATCCAATTCAATATATGTAATTCCTTTAATAAGGGTGTGGTAGGGAAATTAACATTGGACACACTAAGCCTTTGTGAAAAATCGGAGGTAGGCACTAAGGGTCGTGCTTAGTTCATCGTTTTAAGGCATGCTAGCAAGAACATAGTCTAAGGCATAACGTCTAGTGTCATTGAGCAAACATAAAACGGTTTAATATTTCATTTAAAAGTCGTGGGTGATAATATTTTAAAATCTTTTTAATAAATTAGTTTTTAAAATCATGTTAATAGATACACTCAACAGAAATTTCAACAAACTCAAAATCAAATGTCACAGCCATGGAATAATATTTTATTTAAACAATTTGATTACGAATCGTTTTGATTTTATATCGAAACGGAAAGATGAAATAATAAAATTTAGTTTTCAAAAATTAAAATATAAAATATATTTTGCAAATTTATTTGTTATGAATTTTATTTTGAAATAAAGAAAAGAGATAAACCAGTTCATAAGCTATATAAAGAAAATAGAATGTTAAAAAATTAAACCAAAAATATGATAAATTTCTTTTTTATAATGGATTTTTCACCGCGTACCCCTAATTTTTTTTTGTTTGTTCACCATATTTCCATGAAAATTTTCAAATTTACCATACACCCCTAACTTATTACAAAAATACACTATGGGTAGGAAAAAGGAGTGTGGATAGTTTCGGAGGTATGGGAATATATTTAGGATGGTTTCAGTTTATAATTAGCTCTAATGATTGATAAAATTAAAAATCATTAGTCATTAAAAGTATATGGTGTATTTTGGTAAAACTCGGGGGTATATGATGAATTTACAGAAGTCTAGGGGTGTATGGGTGTATGGTGAATAAATAAAAAACTCAGAGGCATATGGTGAAAAACCCGTTTTTATAATTATATCTTTATTTTCACTTGCATATAGGATTAGTATTAGGTTAACCAGTGATAAAGCGATAATTTATATTGTTCATTTCTCACTTGTCTTTTACTGCATTGCAACAAGTTAGTTATTTCTTGTTGGATGTTTAAGTGAGCTCATATCTCTTATCATATACGAAATGTTACACTATACTTGTATATATTAAGCTAAGTATATTCTCACCAAAATATGTTCACTGTAATTTTTTCAAAAATAAAAAAAAATGTCTAATAAGAGTTAAATTTTAATCATTGAATTATTTTAATATATATCTTTATGTACATTAAATGGATACCACCACAACCTAAATACTTGTAATATATGGAACTCAAAATTTTGAAACTAATTAATTATTTTTACCATTGAATTTCATAAATGGAGGGTGATAGAGCAAACTGCCCTACAAAAAACATGCCTAAGCAAGCAAGTCGATTTGGCGGGGTAGGCTTTATCTTCAAGTTGCAATTAAATTGGGGTGGACAATTTTAGACATGGGGAGCCGTCAAGGGGCATATCATAGAGGGAGTAATACAAATCATCATTCCAACTATGAACGGCTCCAACCGCCAATCGACACATGGATAATAATGCCACGTAAGTCCCTATCAAATGCCATTTTCCTTTAAAAGTTCATATCCCAAATTGAGATGTCATGCCACTAATTATTTATGTCCTATTTGGGGAAGGTAGTTGTAGCTTAGGTATGGTCCTATACAAAATAGGTCCCAACCCAAAAGTTTTTGAGGTGGTACACTTACAAATTATACATTATGATCGATAGTGCAAAAACGCAATCAATTTTCTCCCTCAACCAAATGTCTAGTGATGAGAATTTTATGACTCATCATCCTGTTCTAATTAATATGATGATGAATAGATGATATTGAATGATATTTGGACTTGTATAGTTTATTATTAGTATGTATTATTTCCATTATTCAAAATAAAATTTCATTTTGAAAATGATTTGAATTCATACTGTAATTGCTTTAATAAGTAGACACTTTTAATTGTATAGGAATAAGACTATTAACACTCGTAATGTTTTAATACTCGTAGTTCTTCATGTGACTACTTAAGTATTGACTAATGTATTAATGACATTTACATGGGTTCGAGGTAGGTAATATGAAATGAAATAAAGACAAAGCGAAGTCCGTTTTGTAAATTGATCAGTAAGCGAAGGAACTCACCACCAAACCTAGAATTCATCCATCCTTAATGATTTCCATTTGAAATGACAACTCTCATATGAACTTTTCCTCATAAACTCAAAGTTTGTTTGTTAATAACTAACTGATACGAAATAATTATCTCAATAATGCATATAGGTGCAATAACGAGATCTCCACTTAATGATTGTATATGGAGGGATATTGTATCCCTTGTTCACATGCATCAGGCTTATAAATTTTAGACGGGTTACACTGTTACAATTAAACTCTACCTACCAGCTGAAAATATAGTAAAATAAAGCAAGTACTACAACTAAGGTAGTACATAAGTAGGGTACTACATTCATAAGTTTTGTGGAAATCAATTGATAAGAGGTCACTATACAATATAAGAGTGTACTACTACTTGGTTAGAAATTGGACAAAAGCGTTAGCCTTTATTCCTCCCCAAATAATTGAACCTATGATTTTTATATAAGAGATTGCGACTTAACATATAAAATGTTTATTTGTATTTATTATTTATTTTTGGTCATTTGCAATCATCCAAAATTCTCCATTGCCCTTCAATCCCCTCCTTCTTTTGTACGTCCTCTCAAATTACAATTATTTGTAAATGACACTTCTCTTAATAATTGATATATATGGTCCTTTTTTTTTTTTAATCTTTTTTCTTTTTTAATCCTTTCTGATTACAGAAAAGGTTGACTTGTTCACTGTTGGGGGATATACGAGTCATGGATATGTTGACATAATTACATCGTGTGACGTACATATGGCAAAATCAAATAAATTATGATTTAGATATAAATATAAATACGGAGTATATTTTGTTTAGTTTAACTATCCTTGTTTGGTTCAAAATTTTACCAAAAACACCTCTTACAACTTTTTAATTGTATGTAATATTGAAAAAAAAAATAGCATACATTGTTTCTATGGACGCATTAAAACACTCTCAAATCCTCAATCATCTCATACTTTTTCTAATTACTCATAACATTCAAATTATAGCCATGTACTCATCGTAAAATTTTTAATTTATTATTATTACTACGTATTATGTTCGAGATTAATAGGCATGTAATGATATTATGCAAATGTTTATGGAGTACTAAATATCCTAAAATTTAGAACATGCTCAACTAAGTAAAATGAAGATGAGATATTGTCAAGGTCACTCTCAAGAATGCCAGATGCATACTCTTATATTAAAAACAAACAAGAAACATTGCAATATGCCAATAATACCTTATCTTTGAAATAAGACAGCAGAAATTCAAAATTTATTTATTAAAGTTATAATGACATGCATAGAATTATCAAGAAAAAGACTTGGGCCTTGTTTGGCAAATGGCTGTTGGCTGGTTCACTTGGCTTGTTTAACCAGCTGGAATGTTTGGTTGTTTATAATGGATTTTGAAATTGGCTATTTTAAGCTGGCTGTTTATAAAAGTGTTTGATAAATTAATTGGTGGTTGTTGGTGTTTATTAGATAATTTGTGGGCCAATAAGCCAAAAGCCAACAAAAAAGCTACTCAAAGCAGCTTTTTCATTTTGGCTTAAAAGCCAACTTTTTCGCTAACTAAAAAGCCAATTATCAAACACATTTTTTGGCTGTTTGACCACCTAAAAAAGCCAAAAGTTAACCAAAAAGCCAATTACCAAACATGGCCTTGGAGAATCCATTCTTTTAGTTGACATGACATTAGCACTCCGTTTTAATCTACTACTCCGTAGTAAAATGCAATTCCACTTGTTTCTAAGTAAAGTATGCTAATCAAAGTTTGTTTACATATTAATTAATCGACCCTTTAATTTAGTGTTAAATTATGAGTATTATTAGGGGTTCATTCATAGAGTCAGA